TGAGATCCAGATCTCATATTCATGTCAAAGATGTATATAGAACATTTGAATATTACCATATATATATGCCAACTATTCCCTGGAACTTGGAGAGGATATAGAATTATTTGTGTCATGCAAGACTTTTGCCTAGTCACTGTACACTGCAGCACAATAAAATTTTCTTCCTTTTATTCCCCCACAATATTGTTGAATGTCAGCACTACATTTATTACTCATGCCATCCAACCATCCCTTCAATGAGGATCCTGCTGCATTCATTGACTCAATGTCGATCCAGGATATCATGGCCTTTTGAAATACCGTATGATAAATAAATCATGTTTTTTTATGGTTACTAACTGGACTGGGCAGTGTTTTTCAGCCAAATTTATTGCTTCACATCCTGCTATTTTTTTGAACAATGATTGGATCAAAACCAAGATGCTGAAGGAATGGTTACGAGCACGTGACAACATTGATCAGCCTACTCCCAGTGCCACCAGCATTGCCAGCGACAGTTGTCAGACTACAGTCAAACAGGAAGTGCTCAATATCAACCTTAGACACAACAACTCCCCACCAAAAACTCTGGTCCGAGGATGAACGATCACTGAGAATGACTGCGCTGTCATTGAAATCTTTAATTCCGATGAGGAGGCTGAGCTGGAACACAGTACTTTACCCTCCCTGGGTTATTCCATATGGACTAGATGGAATCCATACTTCCCCCAGATGGATTCCATGGAATGGTTGATGGAATCCATACTTTGGTTGTTGGAATCCATGCTTTTCCAACTTAGGCCAATTTAGGAATCACAGTTCTGCACTTAATCATACTGGTAACTGCTCAAGAACAATTGTAATATAATGACTAGGACTACATATATTTATTTTACAACATCAAATATTAAAGGGAGAGGGAGAGGGAGGGGAGAGTGAGGAGTGGGTGTGGTGGAGAGTGAGGAGGGAGAGAGTGGTGGGAAGTATTGAAGTGAGGGGGACACAGGAGGGATGGGGAGCAAAGGGAGGGGAGCAAATGGAAGGAGAGCAAGGGGAGGGGGAGCAATGGGAGCAGGGGGAGCAATGGGGGGAGGTGGA